AGTGTGTAAACTAATGTTAAACCTCAGAGGTTACAACCCTCCCCCCCCTCCCCACACACACACAGACACTCTCCATTCGGCCGTCGTATGAACTTCGACGAAAGGAACTGAAAGAATTCCGAATATCTCAATTTAGGTATCCAGATGGTAGTAACTAGTAACCGGACACGGCTCGTGACATATCACTTAAAAGTACAAAAGGTCTTTAACGCTGTATATACCACAGATTTTTCGTTCCCGCAGCCTCGTAATTATTCATACTCCCATTTTAAAACTTTTATAAAAGAATTGGGTTGACGCGTCATGCGATACCAGACTACACCGTTTCCCACTAAGCTTAGGCTAAAACCCACAGTCCGTTAGCCTTGACTCACATTCCTCTAGTCAAAATCCGAAATGCTTTAATCCGACGACCCATAGTCCTTTAACCTCGACGCACGAACTTTAGTCACGTCGCTGTAGGCGTGTCTCAGGTCAAACAGCATAGGAATATTCTGAGATCAACGAGGATTGAAACATTTTGTTTTCTACAAATGTTAATGTTGCAAAAGTTGGTTAGGGTATGGGAGGGTGTGGCGAACGTATGCTGCCACTATTGACAGAAAAAGGATAGCCCTTTCTTAGAAGGATTGGTTTTGCGCGGTGTGTAAAACATTTGTGCTCATTTCATTATCTTCTGTAAACTGAAGGCACTGAACTATAGCTTTCATCCTAGAACAATCAGCAACAGAAAAATTGAGCACAAAAATTTCAAAATATTTGAACATGAATATCCCAATTCTCGTTGCTCAGATAAATCTTCAATCCTCACTCCCTGCTCCCGTACAGATCATGCAATCATTGAAAAACTACTGGAGGAGATCACATTCTACATGGAATATCCGGACTTGAAAGATGAGGAATACTTGGTCTTGGTTTTGGTCTACGACTATACGATGCGAAATTTTCAGCGTCGTACGCCACCACCACAGGAACGTTCTTTGCCGGATTTGGAGAAATACATGGAATACATGCCCAACAGCCGACTGATAATGCATCCGCCAGGAGGTGAACTATTCAAGGTAAAGTGTTACTGGATCGATGATGGCGCGCACGCACACGCGCCAAATTTAAATAAAGAGCAAACCTTTGGTCACGTGATCCCAGGTGTTGAGATAAAATATTGCTGTGGAGGTTGTTTCTGTTACTGTCGGACAGATGCCAACGTGTCGTCAATTCACGTAAATGGTATGGGGTAAATTACCTCGGACATGGTTTTTGTGAAACAAAATTGCAATCTGTAGTCAATGGTGATGGGGACCGACCAGAGAACAGATAACCATCCACGTTTGTTTATGCATTTTCCGGTTCTGTACAGCACTGATACTGTGCCGGTATCGGGTTTTTGGTCAAATACAAATACAAATACATGAAACCATGGGTTCGGTCGACCTCCAAAGCTGTCGCTTGTTGTTGCATGTGTTACACATGTCACCAAATAGGTTGCCTCGGTGCACAATATGATCCGTGGCAGGTAGCGGATAGAAAACAATCAAGGACAGGTGGCACGAGGATTTGAACACACTAACCGGGACACTTGGTCACTGAGAGATAGAGCTGGGTGTCGTACACAGTGATGCTCGTGCAATCTATTCGTTATTCATTCAACCTCAGTCTATATATTCTATATATATATATTCAGTCTCTATATTCTTTTACCTGCTGTCTGCTCTCAAAATTCCAATCCTCATTCCGCTGTTTTATCCAAATGGGCTGTCCAAAGACAACAATCAAAACCGGAGCACGAAGGCGGATGGTTACGGTTTGTAAAAGTGAACTGAATCGAACTGGGCAACGAAAGTTGTTGCAGTTGTTGTTCTTGTTCTTGTTGGGCTCTTTTCTGATCATTCTGCCAGAGATAAACCAATGAAAACAACCGCTCATCAAAATCTCTAGATTTTTAAGTTTGTAAAAATGATTTGCCCATAACGCTAAACCGGAATATTTCTTCTATTCTACTGAACCATCAAACTCCTATTTATCATGAGGTGCGAGAATTGGTCGTTCTCAAAAGGTTTTTGCTTTTTAATGGATGGTTTGCATTATGACACAATGGCATAATGAAGAATCATTTCACTGGAGATTATGCACCACCCAGGTTTTTCAGTGTGCTCTGCGGGGTGTTTTAGTCAAAATATGTTCAATAAATTTGCGGGATAGATTCCAAACCGGTTGGAGCAGAGTTATTGTTATTATTCAAAGATTAATTATGGGAATAACCTACGAGCTCATGCTTTTCTCGTCCCATAGGTTCGTGCGGTGGAGTAAGAAACAGTGATACATACAAATCCTGGTGTAAAATGTCACATGATACGAGATTCTTTTACTGCTGCACGCAGCTCCATTTGTGTTGGAATGCAAGATGGGCTAATGTTCCATTAAGTCTCCGTTTGAAAGATTCAATGCTTGGAGCACAGACGACGTGGATTGAGAGAGAGTTCCAGATGGAACTCACTCTGACTGCAAATGACTGCGCCGGCATTCCAATTGGCATTTTGAGACCACCAGTTTGAATGGATGTCCTCTAAGATGAACGTTGTATGATAATTTCAGAAGCGGGCAACACGGATGGCTTGGGTTGTACCATAATCATATCTCCTCTGATGAGCCGGTAGTGATTGGAATATAACCCCAGCGGCCCTAATCCTTCTGAGTAAGACTAAATATTCAACCCCTAACCATTTTTGTGGCCGCTCCAGCATTTTGCAATCACGTTGTAGCCATGGATTCCCTACCTGGATAGCGTACTCTGTGAGTGGGAGAATGTATGCTGATAGTAGACGGGGGAAATGCGCTTACTCAAACCGGTCAAAGACCCGCTTAAGCAAGCCGACATTCTTTACAGCTGCGTTGGACACCTTGGTGCAGTTTTGTGAGCAGCCTAAGTTTTCTTGAATGGTGATGCCCAGGTCGTTCTCACTTGAGACGTGTGGCATTTGTTCATTTCCGAGGAAATATGAAAATCTCCTCCTGTGCCGTAGAGATAGAACCTTGCATTTTGGCATATTGAATTGTATATCGTTCATAAGGGACCACAGATGAGCTGCATTTAACGTTTCTTGAAGTGCCAGTGAGCCCGTTGGTTGCGTTACTGTATTCCAAATTTTGACGTCATCTGCGAACAGTAATGATTTTGGCCCCAGAGCCTTCGGTAGATCTTTTATGAACGTTAGGAAAAGTCGCGGGCCAAGAACAGATCCTTGTGGAACCCCAT